ATATCATGACAGACCATTTGATGAAAAAAAAAAGGTTTAATACCCAATTTGGTCCCTAAACTTTTTTTTTGGAACTTAGGTCGTCCTTTAACTTCAGAAAGCACCTGAATCATCCTTAAACTTTATTTTTCTAGGACTCAAATGGTCCTTCCGTCACGGAGTTGCATACCTGTAACTGTTAAATCTCCACCAATTGCCTCTTTTAATTTTCACAAACTTACGTGGACAATACACCTCACCCATTGATGACATGGCAATATCCAGCCCTCTAAATAAAATAAAATAAAACAAAAAAAAGGTACCATCCAGTTTGTCCACAGCTTCCACTTCACTCCCAATCACACCCTCAAGCGACTCATCCTCTCCTAGCAGAACACTCAATCTTCCTCATCTCCTCCTCCGCCTCTGCCGTTCTCCGCCCAGCACGATGAGCTAGTCTCCCTCCTCAACATAGTCGAATCCTCTCCGTTTAAGTTCACCACCTTGAAAAAGCTCCGATCCATTGTTGAAATTAGGGACGAGACTAAATCAGATTTCATTCAATTCAATGGCGTTGAAATTCTCACTCGAATAATCGTTCAGATTCTAATCGATGTTCTTGATTTCATCGCGTTCCAAGCGTACGAAGAGGCGCTCGGTGTTCTGCGTAAGCTTTCATTGTCGAATGATCAAAACAGTACATTCAAAATTTTGTCAAAAACAGAGTGCGTGAAATCAATGACAATTATCCTTCAAAGAGGAAGCGCCGAAGCGAGGCTCCATGCGTTAACAATTTTTAGGAAAATGGCAAAGACTACTTCCAGTTACAATTGGAATTTCTTGCTTCAAGATTAAGGCATAGATTCTTCAAATCTCTGTTAGAGTTGGTTTCCGACGAGATTTGCAGCAAGGCGAGTTCATGTGCGCTGAAGTTTCTAATCGAGATCTTAGAAACGTCAAAGAAGAGTCGATTCAATGCGATAGAGTTCGACGTCGTCTACATCCTAATCGAGCTCTTACCTGACTTAAACAGATCCAAAAGCGAAAAAATTCTATTTCTGATCAAGTTACTCTGCAATTTTATTTATAAGGCTAGATATTACCATGTCATCAATTGGGTGAGGTGTATTATCCATGTAAGCTTGTGAAAATTAAAAGAGGTAATTGGTGGAGACTTAATCGTGCCAGGTATGCAGTTCCGTGACAAAAGGACTGTTTGGGTTCTGGAAAAATAAAGTTTAAGAATGATTTGGGTGTTTTCTGTAGTTAAAGGACGACTTAAGTTTTAAAAGGAAAGTTTAGGGACCAAATTGGGTATTAAACCAAAAAAAAAAAAAGAAGGAGAGAAATTCGTGTGACCTAACAATATCATGAGTGGCCTTCACCACTTCTCTTAATTTGTTAACGTCACATCTTAATCTTTGTTTAGACCATTTTACCCATTTAATTAATAAACTCTTAAAACAATGGTTTTCATTTGTCAAATCTGCCCATATTAATTTTTGAGATTCAAGTTTTTTAAAATAAATTGTACCTTAAGAGTGCAAATCATCTTATAAATTTACTTAATAAATTTTAATAAAATAACATAAAAAAATAATTTTATTAAAAATATTTAAATAAATCCATAATATATACTACACTTTTAATATACAATTCACTGTATAAAACAATTTTTCTTAAAATCTATATCATTGTTTATCCAGTAGCCTTCTTTAAAATGTGTGCTTTCTCTGTTTATGTTTCAAGAGAAAGACTTTTTCAAACCTTTCTCAATAATTGAGTCTCACTGGGCATCGTTGATGGTCACTGACAACCACCTAGCTATACAACTCAATCATTGTAGCTACAACTCAATCATTGTTGAACAGAACGGCGCTCAGAGTTGCAATTTTTGTTCCGATCCCTTGGCTATACAAACAATTACCACAAGTCCCCCTTGAAAAACAACAAATTTCATAAGCCAATCGGAAAGTTGGGTGTGTTAATAACTGTGCAAAAATTAAGGACTTGTTAGTTTGGTCCTTTTTGGCATACCATGCCATAAGCATCACTTCACTCCGCCGTTAATGGTGGTGTGTGCATCAATCCACCCACTGTCATTCTACCCATGAAAGACAAAGATCGTTTCAAGAAAACCCATCAAGAAAAGTCCAATGAGAGTCACTTTCCTCCACATTCGAATTTTAAGAGAGTTTCATTTTTTGTAAGACAAAAATACATTGAAAAAGATAGTATGAGAGAAGAAGAGATTTATATGAGACTTAAATCTTCAAAAGGGAGAGAATAAGATTAAATAACAGAGGGTTGTGAGATGAGTGAGGGTGAGGCGGGGAACGAGGAGAGTCTGATACAGAAAAGAGGAAGAAGACAAATTTTGGAAAAGAAGGAAGAAAAAAATGGAGATTAAATAAGGGTATATTTGGAAAACGAAAATAATTGTTTTAAGAGGTCATTAATTTATAGGGGTAGAATGGTCTAAACAGTAATTAAGTTGTGGCATTAAACAATTGGGAGGCGGCAATAGCACCATCCAAAAACAGTCTAACCATATGAGAAAAAGCTTGAGTTTTTGTATTGAAGGTTGCAAATTTAAGTCTTCCAATAAGCGAAGAAGAATTTGGAGAAAAAAAATGTAAGGTTATCCCTGATTATGCGAGTGATTGTTTTAGAGGTGGAAACAGCTATTAATTGAACGAAATACATGTTTTATTTTATAAATGACAAT